ATTTGTCAGGATTTGAACCCGCTTCAAACTATTAGTATTCAATGATTTTACCGTTACTTCGTTGGCGGCTTTTTGTAGTATCTATAAGAAAAGTAATCGCAAAGACACAATCATTGCATACCGATGGATGAGTTAAGTTCGGAATTTAAAGAATAACTTTCATTCGTGCTATTGCTGTTAACATTGACATTTGGACAGATGTTAATTTATTTTAAATTATTTTAATGTAATTAATTTAATTCTTTAAATAATTGATCTTCTGACTGTAATTTTTTGTGCCAAGTATATCTAACCCTTCCGTACACTAACTGTTTTAATTAATTTACACTCCATTAATTTTAAGAGATTTTATATCAATAGATTTCTTTCCAAAAATTTTTCAAGGAATACATATTTTTTCTTTAGATTTTAAACCATTTTGGATTTAAAATCTTAATAATAAAATTTTTGAACCAAATATTTCTAGAAATTCCTTCGGCGTATTCATTTATTCCATTTAGTTGAAGTTTCGAGTAGAATATCTTCCTTTCAACATTCATATAATTTTTATATGTCAGTTCGCCATTTCTACGGAGCACAGAGCCACATATACGAGTACAAAACTCAGGCATGCTGAAAGCACAGTTTTAACATTTAAGAATGTAAAAAGAAGAACATACCATTATAATAACGTGCATTTGAAATACGAGGGCAAACAAGAAAGCTGGTTGCAACATTTTATACTTTTTCCTGACGAATCAGAAATTGTAATCATTTTTCATTAATACAAAAATAAAATATTTGATTCTATAACATATAGGCATAAAGGCGTCCTCCGTTACAATTCTTATTTTTTCTTGTTTCTACTAAAATTCGGCAATGTACTATAACAACGTTGGATCCTGTTTGACTTTCATTTGTATAAAGTACCACAAGGCAAACAGCTGTAAAACGATTTATCTTCTTTCTCAAACTTTTAGTCGGCACACAGATAATACATACCTGCTGTCTGACAATGATACTTCACTCTAAGGACTTTTTCGTAAAGTGCTCTTTTCAAAGAGACTTCACACCCTATTAAGACCTTTGTGTCAACTGACAGCCGCCTGCAGAAAGGTAGGGGAAGGAAGACCAGATCGCGTCGTCTAAACATGTCTTAAGCAATCTTCGCGAAATTCGGGCTTCGTGTATACACGTCTTAAGCATTTTTCGTGCGATTTGAAATTCGTGTAAAGACGTCTTAAGCAGTTTTAAAGGAAATTCCAAAAACGTTTAAACACGTCTTAAGCAGTTAAAGGGTTAAGGGGTTTGTCCTGCCTCTGTTATCAGGTTTTAAAGTGCAGTCAGTGGTAATCCTGGAGAAATATTTCTCCAAACTGCAGATTTGATGCATTAACTAAAGAATCAAAATCTGAGTGTTATTTCCTGGATGCATTTGTAAGATATCAGCATCCTTTTCTTTTCAAGATACAGCTAAATTTATAGCTTTGGTGACTAGATATTGCTGATTTGCTTGCAAAATAATTTCAAATTCTATTTTATATACATTGAGTGGTTGCTTCCCATCATATGGTGAGAGTTTAATCTAATCTTGTTTCTCAATTACTGCAAATAGTTTACTTATTTCTTGATTAACATTTTCTATCTCTCTTTCTAGCTTTCTTCCAGAGCAACTACGATTTCATTCATACCTTTAATAATTTTCCCTTTGATGGTGCCAATACTGTTCTTTATTTTTGCTCCATTTCTGTCAATTGAGTTCTTTATTTCAGCGACCTTAGCTGCTGCTTCTTCCTCGCTTGCAGCAGTAATTTCCATAACGAATTTCAGCTGCCCTTCTATTTTCATCATTATCAGCATTCAAGGAGATCACATTTCTAACATAAGTTGTTGTAGGCTACCAGTTCATTGATCTCTCTCTCTCTCTAAAGGATAACTCCAGATACACAGGAAGAGATTAACAGTTTGTTATCAAAAAATCATCTGTGCACAGTACAATAAGTAACAGTAAATAGCTTAGGCAGAGCATGAATATTAAACAGTTCCTCTTTAGTTCACATGAAAAACTGTCAATCTCTAAATCACTTGCAGAATAAACTTACAGTTCAGCTAGTGCTAAATCTCACAGTTGAATAACAACAACTTCTGAGCTCCTGGAGCTGTATTTATATAGTGTAATATGAGTATCAGTCTGGCATAGCAGGAGCTCCTGAAATTTGTGAGAAAGATGGGTCACCAAGGCCTGTGAGGAGTGTATCTCGTGTCTCACATAAGCTAATTTTATAATTTAAACATTGCTTTACTCAGAACTAAATTATAAAAAATTCTAGATAAGAAAAATAAAACTTACATAAAAAATTTTGACCACAAATACAAACCAAATAAGTAAATACATGCACAATATTACAAAAATGCAATAAAAAAGGATTTAAATATTTATAGATACATGCAACATTGTGTTCTGATTTTAAAACTTAAAATTATTTGTCTAAGGAGACTTTACTTCATAGTTAGAAAGATGACACTCGAAGGAAAGACTTACAGACATACATAGCTGAATTGAGTATCACTTTTATTGGTGGATATGGAACTAATTATCAAAATATATTTTTCATCATATATGATCATGGGAACAATACACACCTCACAATTTTATATTGAGTATCACATTTTAGGCAATTCCATAGTTAGTGCACGACAAAGCAAACAGAGTGAAGTATTAACTTGACTGCATGAGTGCATGACAAAGCAAACAGAGTGAAGTATTAACGTGACTGCAGGAGAGCTGAAGCTAAAAGTGTGCAATTATCCAATATGGTGGTTCACTAAGAGGAGGTTTTGGTTTATGTTAAAAAGGTTTCAGTTCTCAAAATTGTGAATTTAGGTTCCGAATTGATTATGTTATCAGCGTTACACAAGCCAGCAAAGTGGATTGATCTAGAAATGATGCAGCCCAGAAAGGTTATGACTTTAAAATAGAGAGTGGGAATTATGCAGTTACTTTTGATTTACATATTTTTCATCTTGCATACATACCTATTGTTGGTTTCATAAGTGATATAAAAATTTAAATTAAAATAAGTATAAATAGAAATTTCATTGCAGTATCAGTGAAAATTTAATGTCTACAAAATAATTAAAGTAATAACAATTAATAATCACAGGTGTTATTTTTTTCCCATAAGTTTTGAATCACTTAAAAAATGCACGAAATATCAGGTTTCCATGAAAATGTGTGATTGGTTACATCATAACAAAGAATCACATGGAGTAATGTTGAAGAATTGGTATAATTTTCCAAAGAAAATTTCATTATATTAATAAACACATTACTGAGCTCTTCGGCAAAGTAAACTTCATGAAGCAATATTTTGAATAATAAAATTAGTGAATGGAATCTTCAAACATGTTTAAACAAAAAATAGTTAAATTTTGAAATATTTTTTGGATTAAATTATTCGACTAAAAACATATTTGATATTGTATAACATATTCGTAAAACATATTTGATTTTTTGTTTCTTTATTACTGATAAATGCTAATTATTCTGTGGTTGATAAATGTAACAGTATCAACTGTAATTAGCTAATTTACTGAGATATTCATTAAATAAATATCAAGATTCCTTTAGAATTAATAGTTCATTTAGGATATGCTTAATTCATTTTTAGTAAAATTTTGCAACTGTGGATAACTTTGAAGCCACAGTTTTAAGTTAACAAAGTTTTATGTATTTTACGCTCTGTTATTTTTCTGTATATTAAAAAACATTTTTAATTTACCAGTAAGTTGGATTTTTGGCTGTAGATAAGGATATTTGCATTCATATTTTTATGATTTTTTTCATTGTTAATTTAGATACAGTCAATCCACTTAGTTCAAGAAAGTACTCCATGAAGATGTCCTTTCTTATCTCATTTTCCCATAACATTAGTAAATCACATCTTGCACTTGTGATTTAAGTTTAATTTTTTTAAGTTTTATGATTAAGTTTATTTAAGTGATTTTATTAATTAGTCCAAAGGGGCAATTTACCCAAAAGGACTATTAATTTCGTTTTGGCATTTTGCATTGATTCATGCAAGCGTTGTTTCACTTTTCAAATTGTTGCCACAAATATTATCGCCCTGTATTATATTTAAAGAAATTAAATAATGAAGAATCTGCATAAATATATGTATGTTTCTCGCATTGTGATAAAACAACAGTACCTAGAGCCATCAAATTTTGAATAATGTAATCCTCCTGCGAATATGGGCATCTAGAAGCCCAAATTTGAAATTTGGAATTTATTTTATTATCGATTTCATATTTTGTAAAACGAATTTTTGATTAAAAAAGTCAAGGATTAAAAAGCGAGCAGTGGCAACGTTGTACAGAAAAAGCATTTTTATCTCCAGCATGCGAGACTGTGTGTTGGAAACTCTAAAGATATGCTCATTTAAAAATAATTTTGCGATATTGCTCTTGAACTGAATTCTATGGTTTAAGTGTGTAGAACATGATATTTAATAGGTAAAGGTAACACACAAAATGTTAAAAACATGCCCCTTTGGACATAATTTAATATCTGAAACCCTTCAGATATATTTTTTTTAATTTAATTTTTTATTTTGAATAAGTGTAAAGTTGTATGTAACAATAGTACCTGTTAAAGAGGTAAGGTGCAAACTTTTACTTAGAAAACACATTATAATGCCTTTTATTGCAATCATTTTAATGAACATTTATTTTTAATAGAAACTTATAATTTCAATTCTTGGCACTTTTAATAATTAAAGCTTTCTTCATCTGTATGCTTTACAAGCTTTGTTAATTTATAGATATGATGCCACAGGTAATAAGCAAAGTTCTTGAATGATCTGGAGGTTTATCTTATATCAAGAATGTTCAGTTGTATATGTGTAACTTCTGTTGTTATTTTTTGTATAATAGTAACTCTTATTAGAAAATGCTTTTTGTTTCTTAGTAGTGCTGTGCCTAATATTTTTCACTAATTTCTTTGTTTATTTATTTTACAGTGAAAATTCACAATTAACTGTAGAGATGGAGGTAAGATGTTTTCCCCTATCCTTCAAACAAAGTAAAATAACCGTTTTTCTGTTACAATTTAATATGCTTTAATTTTTAAATATACATTCAGTAATATTAAAATAAATGCGTTTTTCAATTTTGTGCTACTTTCTCTGCTAAAATTTGTTATGGTGATCTCAGTTTAATTTTAAAATGCTTTCATTAATATTAAAGCAAATGCTATTTTTAATTTCATGCATCTTTTTCTCTTAAAATTTGATTTGTTTACCTCAATTTAATTTTAAAATGCGCAGTCTTTAATATTAAAACAAATGTTGTTCTAATGGTTATGCTCCGTTTAATGAACTTAATTTATCTCTAAGTTGTGTTTTCCATGATTTCATATTTTTTCAACTTCTGAAGAAATTGCTAGTTTGAGAGTCATAAATAAAATAAAACAAATGAAATTTTCTTGTGATGTGTACTGTTCATTCAAAATGCAGCAAGCAAAAATATGTCACAAAGTATTCATTCTCCAAAATTCAAACCAGTTTTGAAAATCCAGTCCAGTTTGAATATCCAATTTTGAAACCAGTCCAGCAAACTAAACTCGATCTGTTACATTGTTGTGGGAAACATTAAGCACTTTTGTATGAAAAATGAAAGCTTTTTTCTATCATTCGGTCATAAAAATCTTCAAAACATGTAGAATGCTCGTTCTTGTTCAGCTTAATGTCTTTGGCTTCTATATTCATTTTTTTACAGAGGAAAGCAAACAAATATGTGAATTTGGGGGGGGGGGGGTTACATTATTATTAAGCACCAATTTATAAAGAATAAATTCTTTTAATAATCAGAATATATACATAGTGTTAGATTAACATTAATCTCAGTGGTGAATGCGAATGAACTTGTAAAACAGAAGGGAAGAGTTCTTTCTGACAGTCCCTCAGAAACAAGATTCTTAGCACGCATGCACTATAGAGAGAAATTGGGATATGATGTTGAAGTTGAACATCAATTTTGAAGAAACGGCAAAGGAGATAAAACCCTACACCTTCTCCCATTCTGAAAAAAATTGTATTAAAAATCTGTAAAAGAGGAAAAACATTAGCATTGTACAAATCATTTTGGAAAGTGAACTTGACATCCAGAACAAGTTTGGTAACTTGCTTTCATAGAAACTTTTTTTTTTCCTGGAGACTTAATGTACAGGCTGGTTGCTGTGATAGGGGCCTTGTCAACATTAGGTAAAATATGAGGTACGGATACATCATCTGGGACCAAATAGGAATGATTCCATTTTTATTGATCTAAAAATTTTGTATGTTTCGCGGCAAATGTGCATTTAAGAAGGTTGACAGTCAAATTATGATTTTTTAATTTCTTAAAAGCTTCCTCGATATAAAGGACATGTTCATTGAGAGATGATGAAACAATCAAAATATCATCTATATATATGAAACAGAAATTTAAATCTGACAAAATTTAATCTGGTGATCTTTGAATGGTTTGCTCAGTGATATACTTTCTTGAAATCTATTGTCGAAAAAACAATTTCATTGTTTAAATTGGATGTAAAATCATGTAGATAGGATAATTATCTATAGTATTATAATAGGATAATTATCTGGAGTAGTGATTGCATTTAAGTTGCGGTTATCCCCACAAAGTTGCCAAGACCCATCTGATTTTTTAACCATGTGCAGAGGACTCCAGAAACATTTAGAAGGACTACAAATGCTTTTTTGCACTAAATAAATGAATTATGTTTTTGTAGCAGTCAATTTGTCAGGTGCTAGATGTATAGCTTTAACCGCTATTTGAGAATCTTTAGATTTGATTTCATAAGTTTTAAAACATCTTCAAAAAGAGAATCGTATTTTATAAGTATATCATTAAATACATGTAATGGTAGTAAAACTGTAATTTTGGGTACAAAAATCTCGGTATATCTTGCCATCTGATGCAATGTTAGTCATGCTGTCAATTTTCTGGATTTCAGATTTGTAACAATGCCATAATTACTTAAAAAGTCTGCACCCAAAACTGGTTGTGAGACATTAGCAAAAGTAAAAGTCTGGAGAAAAATTCACCATAGACCTAAGTCTAAATTTACTATATTTTTTTTCGTAGGCATTAATTTTTGTACTGCTGGCTGCAACTAAATTTATGAAGATTTTGATTTAAAACCATCTTGTCGAGTAGGAGGCAAGACAGACAAATCAGCTCCTGTGTCAACCAAAAAGTGTGTTCTTGAAGTTTTTTCATATAAAAGGAGATGACAGTTATTTTCGCCCATGGCACTCGCTGCCACACATGATTAGCCTTCTAGTTTTTAAATTTCCAAAGGTGGCTGCATTTAACATTTTTTTTTTTTTTTTTTTTTTTTTTTGCCAAATTTGCCATTGTGCCAACATATGGATGCTTTTTCATTTTGTTTATGCATGTGCAAGAATCTAGATCTGGAGTTAAAATGACCAGAAGAGTGAGACCAAACATGAGAATACAACATAAAAAGTTTTATCTTCTTCTGTTATTTGTTTCTGCAAATTATCTAAAATGTAATTTGTGTTAGTAGAATTACTTTCGATTTGACTTCAGTCTCATGAAGCTGAGTAAGAGTTGTGATGTCAGAGATTTTGTCAGCCATAGCTGTTAATTTTTTAAGTTCAATACTAAAAGAGGCCAGTATGGCTTATAACTTAGCTGGAAGGCATTGAAGCCACAAAGATTTTAACAATCCAGTTCCGACAAGAGGTCCAGCCAGTTCCTGCATTTGTCGAAATAAAACAGATGGGGGTTTGTTACTTAAATCAATCTCTCTCAAGTTTTTTTTTTCATTAGAGTCATAAAAAACTGAATTAACCTTTTTTAAGAGTGCCATATGCATCAATAACTGGAGGAAGATCAATTATGTCACTTACCTGACTTAAGATTTTGGTCTCGATGTGGCCCACAGTGATATGGTATTTTCAAGCGTCAACAGTTATCCCATTCTTAATGAAATGGCTTTCAATTCGTTGAAACCATACACTTGAATTGTCTTTCAAAAATGGTGGCACTCTAACAAAAATTCTGTTAATTTTTGGTGCTTGCACTGACACAATACTATCATTGTTTACAGATACAGTAATTGATGGACATTTAGATACCTGTAGCCATTCAGCTGCCAATTCTGAGCAGCTCTTATTAGTTGTCTCAGTTGATTCCAGAAGAGGTTTAAGGCTTGATAATTCCTCAGACAGAAAAAAACAGGGTGGCACTTTAGCATGTAAAAATGCACTGCATTGTTAAAAGTTGATTTGGGAGGAGTAAGTTTGGCTGGAGAGGGAGATGGACATCCGAGTTTTGAAGATGTGACTTCCAGAGAGAGAGAGCTAGCTGGGTATATCATCTCGAGAAGCAGTCAGGAGCCTTCGATTACTGATTAGTAAGCAGCTGCTCAGAGTTGAGGAAAATACGTGAGAATGTAAGGTGGGGAGTTCATTATTAAACTGATTACTCCTTACTGTTAACACATGAAAGATTATCAGATGAAGCTTTCCATTTCCATTCTAACACATGGAAGATCTTTCCATTTCGCTTTTGCATCATAAGGAATTACAGTAGCAGAACATTTTTCCGTCTGATCTAAACAGTAAATGAAGGGCCAAGGCATATCTGGAGTGAGATATTGCTCATACAGAGATTAGTATTGTAGTGGGTAGAAGAAAAAGAATTAGATTCCAGACTTAAGTTCAGTTACCATAGCAAATTGTTGATTCATACTAATTAAATGATGCTGTATGTAATAATTAGCCATTTTCTTCTATCATGCTTTCCTGCAGAGTACTTCTTTTAGTGTCAGTTAGTTTGGTATATTTGATTTATTATGAGAAGGAGCCCAGTGCCAAAAAAACATAATCGATGAACTGAGTTCCTAATTCCTAGTGTATTGGCAAGAGTTTCAATGTATTTATACTAATTATCTGTAGAAATTTATGAGCCCCTGTATGGAATTAACAAGTAGCTAATTCAAATCAAGATTCCATTTTCTTGAAAGGGATGCTGACCCTGCAGTATATTTCTTATAACAGGATCAGTATAAAAGTTGTTAGTTCTTTGTGGAATTTGATAATAGCCCAAATTTACCACTGAGGGATAATCATTCTTATTCTTTCACTCATGTTCACTTTATGAAAGACTGGGGTATCATCTACAGTTTAGTACTGTTCATTCAGAAATAAGGGAATATATACACCTATTCCTTTTGTGTGTAAATAGCATGCAAAATCTTCAAAAATGTATTGGACACATTTAGCTTTTGAAAAAAATTTGAAACGTTCTGATGCATGAAACTAAAAGTACAGAGCAAGGTTTTCTTTGAAGTTCACACTTAGTCGTTTTTTTAATACTAAATACATTTTCCAGAAAAAATATTAACCTTAAAAACTTAAAGCGTTGGCTTTAAAATGGGAAAATTGTGTGACAAAAGCCATTGGATACTAATGAAATCATAAACAAAATCATGTAATGTAAATTGTGACATTAATTTACATTGATAAATGTGTGACATTATTGTGTTATACATATTTTATTTTATGTAAATTATTTAGTGCTGTAATATGAAAATTAATATCATGTAATGTTCTATAATATGAAAGGTGTGATATTAAGTAGACAGGATATCTCTAAGTAAGATTGGCAAACATTGGTAGTGCATTTAATGTGGTCAAAGAGAAGCAAAGAACATGTCATATGAACATATAACTAGAAATGTGTAGTTCATGAATTATGAACTGTTAAACATCAATGGCAAGCAAATGTAAAGACTAGCTACTTGCCTCTTGTGCAGTGTTGGACATCTAATAAACAGTACTATCAATATTTATCACAGTTCATGAAAATAGGATCTAGATGTTTAAGAAGTGCTTAAATTCATTGCAGAATGCTCAGTTATAAAACTAAGCATCCTCTTGATACTGAATCTCAGTGTCTTGTAGTTTCTACACTCCCAAGTTTGCCTTTGTTTGGCTTAATTCTGTGTTACCTAGTAT